CATGTCACCTTGCAGAGAATGAAAAGGGTGATCTTTTAGAAAAGAATGACCAAGGATATGCAAAAATATGTTCAGCAGTGTAGCACATGTCAACAATGTAAACTTGAGGCAGTAGCATCACCTGGTCTACTTTAACCTTTTCCACTTCCTGGTATGGTATGACAACAACTAACCATGGACTTCATAGAGGGCTTACCTTTGTCCTTTGGTAAGTAGGTTATTTTTGTAGTTGTTAATAGACTAAGCAAAGCTGTTCACTTCATGAGTATGACTTATCCTTACATTGCTAAAGATGTGGCTTAGTTGTTCTTGGATAACATTTCCAAACCCTATTGTTGTCAGCCAATTTTGGCAAGAATTCATGGGCTCTACAAGGTGTTCAATTGCAATTATCCTTAGCTTAACATCCTCAAACAAATGGTCAAAATGAGGTAGTTAATAGGTGTCTTGAAACCTATTTGAGATGTGTATGTGCTGATAATCCTCACCACTAGTCCAAATGGTTATCACTTGCTGAATGGTGGTACAATACTTCCTTCCATAGCTCTATTTAGACCAGTCCTTATAAGGTTGTTTATGGTCAACCTCCACCTGCTTACCTTCCTTACCTTTCAGGTGAATCAAATGTGGAATTAATGGACATATGTTTAAGTAAACAAGAGGAAATGATGAAGCTGTTAAAGTTTCATTTGAGAAAGGCTCAAGATCACATGATACTGATCAACAGTTCAGTGTGGGTGATCTAGTCTATGTGAAGTTGCACCCCTACAAGCAAGTGTCTGTTGCTAATAGGAGTAATACAAAACATGCTCTTAAGTAATTTGGACCTTTCACGATTTTGGAGAGGGTTGGAGCTATTGCTTATAGGATTCAGTTATCTCCTAATTCCAGAATCCATAATGTCTTTTATGTGTTTCAATTAAGGAAGCATGTGGGAAGTGAGTTCAATTCTAGTACTATTCCGCATGATAATGAAGATCTTATTTTGATGAAGAAACCCAAGTTAATTCTTGACAGAATAACAATAAGGAGATTTGGCCAAGCAGCTACAAAAGTCCTAGTAAAGTGGAAACATCAATTAGCAAAAGATGCCACATAGGAGTTTGATTATGATATGCTATAAAGGTACCCTCATTTCAAGCCTTATGGCTAAGACTTATGTGGGAGAGGGGTTTGTGTTTCACATCACATCCTTGAGGACAAGGATTTTCTGATGGGGGATGAATTAATACGATCTGTTTTAGTTGATACTTTTTCTGTAAATTTTCATTAAAATGCCACGTGTAATAAGGGTGGGATCAGTAGCTAGTTCTGGTAGTTATTCCACTATTGGGGAAGTAGTTGCAAACTGCCAAGTTAATTAGTGGCTATAAATGGCAAATAAGCCTCATTTTTGTAGTTTAGCTTGTGAATTGTAATCTTCTTGTAATCTCTCAAAATTCTGATTCAATAACATTGTCTCAAATCCCTTTCTTCCTCAAAGGTTCCCTATTTTCTCATATTCTTCGAGTCTTCATACTCCTAGTTCATCTTCTTCCCTAAATTTTTCTATCATATTGTCCTTCCTTAAACGTAGGCTTTTGCGGGATTGAGGTGACTCCTCCTCCTCTAGCTCCTCCCTCACTACATTCGCTGCCACCTCCTCTGGCTCATCCCTCACTACATCTGTCGCCGCCGCCACCTCCTCTACTACTACCCCCGCTGTGTCATCAATTGCCTCCTCTGACTCCTACCCCACTACCTCACCTGCAGGCTTGCACGTCAATTGGCTGCACCTGAAACAACTTACAAAATTCAAGATGAACTAAGAATAAATATTATCAAGATACAACTTCATATAAATTTTGAAAAAATAGATAAAAAAAAAGGTTAAGAACTTGAACCTGAGGAGATCGAAGATACAAAATACAAAATTTATCAACTATTTTTTTATTTGAACTTTCTATACTTTTTCTAGATGAACCCTCGAGTCCATATATGAGATGATTTTTGAACCTATCAGTATAAAAAAAACTTTAATAAAAGATAAAAAAAAATCAATAATAATTTGAACATAGAAGTTAGAAAGTGGACTCGTACTACCATCATCACTCAGGTCATTGAATATTTGATGTCGAACATGAAGCAAAAGTTGTCTTTTTGCTTGGATGGTTCTTACTGTACTACCACTAATTTCAAGACCAACGAAAATGAAAAAAGCCACTGGCTTTTAAGGATCTTAGGAAAATTTGGGAGTGTTACGATCCTAATCTTCCATGGGACAAGGGATAATACAATCAATCCAACACATTACTCTTAGATGATTCTCCGTATAAAGTATTAATTAATCCTCCACACAACTCGATTTTTTCACTTACATTTGATCATTGCTGTAAAAATGATAATTCATTAGCTATTAGAGGTGATTTGCGAAAATATCTAAATGGATTGTCAAATGCTGAAAAATGTTCCTAAGTATGAAGAACAACATCCATTTAATCAAAAATCTATTAATGATACAAATCCATCTTAAAAATTCTACTGCAAGGCTATACGCTAGTCTTGATAAAAATGTTGGTGGACATTTGGCCTGCTAAATGAGACAGCAAATTTCAAAGCATTTTGTTCTTCCCCTTATTCAGTACACAACTATTCCTCAATTCAACAACTTGTGTTTGTTATCTGTCTTTGTTTACTACAGAAGCTGTGATATGATATTAGCTTTCAAAAGGTTGTGATATGATATTAGTTTTCAAAAGGTTTTAGCTTTTAACCCCTACACTTTTTGCAGCTGAGAAGGGAAGGAAATCTCTGGGCATCAAAGCGGAGTTTTCATTCTGCATCGTTGCTGGATTTTTTTAATTTTATTTTGCATATTTAAGAAATAATTTTCTCATCAACCTCTGTACTAGTAATACTTGAGATTTTTCTCTGCAGAAATTTTCCTATATTCAATTTTGCCTATGTTATAGTGCTTTGTAAAAGAACTACTATTCTCATTTGTATGTTTTCAAATTGGTAGTCAAAGGATTGGTGCTCAAGAGGGTGCTACTAGCATGGTTGTGAAGGTGGAACAGCATGTCTTGATCTTAATATGTGATACAACAAAAGAGCATGTGAGTCTTGTGGCCTCAGTAAAGACACACATGTTCTTTCGTTGTTGATGGAGTGAATATGGATCCTATCAAAGGTGGGGATTGGTTCACGGTGTTGATGGTATATCACGGGCATGCATGATTTGGTTTCGGATAAAAAATCAGACAGTAACAAATCAGTAATATTAGTTTGTTAGAAAACCAAATTCAGTTAGGTTTGGTTACAAAACCAAAATAGTTTTTATTTTTTGGAAATTGGTTTCATTTTAAAAATTGATTCTGAGCTAATTTTTTAAGCAAAATGGTCTAAATCAGTTGTAAACTGGTTTGACTAATTGATTTAAAACTGGTTTCTAACCAGTTCTGAACTGATTTAAACTAGATCAAAGTGGCTCAATATACATGCAACTAAAGACCAGTTTCAAGCTAAATTTTTCTAGCAGGTCTTGCACTACTCTATAAGGTACCTGGGTGTCACATCACATAATGGGAAGTTGGCGCGAGGAATATCATAGCTGTAAATGGATTTCAACAAATGGATGGTTAAAACAAGCAGAAAAAAAATTGACTACACACTCAAATTAATCATTTCTTTGATGTCGATGAAACTAGCAAAATCCAAGCTGCAAACTAATTTCAGCAATTTATTTATGTTCAACTCAGGCATCAAAAGATTGATCAACATCTATATCAGATGAGACTAGGAAGGTTATGCCAATCATTTTATTCAGCTTTGGATGTCAATACAATAAAATTGAAAGGACATATTATTCACCGCAATGCAAGCTAAGATCATTTTACAATGATTTCAACTTTTAATAGACGATAACTTTGGTCCTAGTTCCTGTTTATGCAGTTGAGGTATTCTCCAAAACACCACCAAAACCCATTTCTCACAAGACAGATTCTGTTCATTATATAAACTTACTATTTCTAATTGAATTTTCTTTCCCTTAACCACACTCCACTTGATTACATTCAAGTGACCCTAAGCCATGTTCTTGAACCTCTGCTCCGAAAAAAGAAGTACCGCTGTATAGTTAATGTTTGGCCAAGTCTAGGATAGCGCGTGCTTTAGTAATGCATGCACAAATACCGAGTTACTGGTCTTTACGTTGAAACGTTAGCCAAAATATCTGTTTGTGTCAAGTATAATCCAATACTTCAAAAACAGGCGTTGCCTAACCAAGACAATTGCAATATTATACTGCATCACATTGCTTGATTGCAAGATGTGGTCTATGCTATGTGATACCAAAAATGAATATTAGTTGTCATTTTATCATTCTTGGCTCTTTTTGGAAATCAATGATACCATCCAAAATCGGCCTCTAATACATGATGATATGATGGTCACTAATCACCAGCTGCATTTGAGAAAGTGATTTACCGTCAATTTCCCCTGATATCTTTTTCTTGTGCTTTAGTAGTTGAGAAACCCGAAATCATCCGTTCTCCTATTACTCAGTCTGCTTGGAATTGGTAGTATAGATTTTTGCAATATTTAGAAGATTGCCTACTCAATTGAGCTAAATTCTTGCGTTTTACCTTGGAGCATAATGCTAAATATTTTGTGAAACAATTTTTGCCATATCATTTGCATAGTTACACTTTCATGTATACAGAATGTAGGAGTTCTTCAAGGTACTTCTGTTTCTAATTGAAATTCCTATTTACCTCCACTGCTTCATTACTCCGTCTATTTTGCAATTAAAATGTTTCTTTAGTCTACCGAATAAAGCAATGAAAGTCGAAAAGGGATCTCAGTGCAAGATAACAATATAGACCGGCTGCTCAGCACAGGGATCAACGATAAACATGGGACTTCATGCTTTTATGATTTGAATGGGAAAAGAAAAAAGACAGAAGAAAGAAACACTGCGTGTAATTCAGAATTGAAGTATCATGTTTAGAAAAATCCTCATAAAAAGCCAATCATCTAAGTAGCATTCAATAAAAAAAGTAACTCACTCCCATGATAGTTCAGTAACAGTCCGTTCTATGATTTTACAATCTTAAATCAATCACCTCATGGATTGAATGACCCCTATAGTTAGTATACATAGTAATAATAATATTATATAAGGATAGCATACCAATTCTTCTACCTTTCTGGTCGAAGAAAATACAGGTTTCCAACTGACTCTGACAAATAGAAGACATGGAAACCCTGCTAAATGTTGAGACCGCTCAAATCACTGCTAGCTGCGAATACTATATTTGATATATACACTACTGGGCTGATAGCTACTGGTTCGACTTCTGTACGCTTTCACAGTTCCATCTTCAATTGATTTGAGTGCAGAGATGCTGTAACAAAATTTAAATTGAATTTAAATACCTTTAATTTTTCTTCCGATAAATAAAAAACTTTGAAACGTAATCTCTTTACTTCTGTAATTAGTATTTGAATTAATTCCTTTCCACCAATATGTAACTTCAATTAACAGACTGGAATCCTCCATTTATTACTTATGAGTGAGCATCCATCCAAGATTCCCATATGATTTCCGTTATGACAATATCCCATCAAAATACCGAAAACAATTCTAATCCCCACCTGCTTATTACGACCATTATCAACGGCAGTATCAATTATGATTCGAGGGACTTCGGAAAATTTTCTGCTAAATATAGTTAGTGAGAGTAGACAATAGAAGCTAAGATTCTGATTTACCTGAGTTTGCCGACGAGTCATAACTTAAAAGTGAGTTTTCTGGAGTCATGAAATTATGGTTGTCGTCTTCTCTCGCCCATAGTGGTTGGTGAAATGTGTCGAATTGCCACTGTTGTTGATAATGCTGTCGGTTACCATTGAGTGGGATTTCTGGCCACATGGGAGGTGTAACCATGCTAGGTAAGTTACTGTCCATTAGAGATGCCCCCTGTAAGTTACAGAGGAGATTTTCTCAGCAGTTCTTGTGGTAATATAAAGCATTGTACTTCATCAACATCACACACCCCAACTCCACCTCTAGCTGAAGTCATGCAAACACTCATTTTCAATTCCATAAACCACCTGTTTACAAGCATCTCTTTCCACATGTACTATTTCAGTTTCGTACAGCTATGAATTAAGCAAAGACAAGTTACATAGGACCATAGCACGTTTTGAATTTTTTATCAATCATATTTCACCTACATAATGCATAAAGGGTGTGGCACCAAGGACGACAGAACAGAATGTGCTTCAGAAAGAGAGGTCATACGTTATCACTCTACTATAGCTTTCTAGCTAAGCCAAAGAAGTTCAGTCTTTAAATTACTCCCCCAGTAAAAAATAGATAAAATTTTATTTTTTCAACGGAAGATAAAATTGAGTAAGTTAGATTAATTTATAACTTACATCAGTGGCCAATAAGCTGTCAAGGCTGAAATCAATTCTTGGGTTAACTGCTGCCAGTTTCATTGATAAGATCTACAGTCAGAGCATAAATCAGGGAGACCAAAATCATATTGATGAAAGTTGACAAAATAATAGTATAAGAAAATCGTTAACTATTGAGCATAATCACTAGACAAACCAATGACCAACTCTACAAGTATGAAACTTTTAGTCTCAAGTCCACAATATGAGGAAAGAATAGCAGGTAGAAGTGTAGAACCTTTAGGAAAGACATTTTTAAAGTAGATTACAAGCCACATAGTCCAAAATAATAGGACCAGTTTAGACAACCAATGCTTTATTTGTTCTAAATGACCGCCAAATTATTCCAGCATGCCACTCTAGCTCTGGGGGACTGAATATCAACTTTGAAGACTAGGAAGAGTTTGGGAAGGAAATCAAGCCCTTTATTTCAAACGTTTCTAAGCATAATCCATTGACTGAGAACCAAATAAATAATAATTAACAAGCATAGCCTGCTCATTCTAAAAATATTTTATGAAAAGTGTCTGCAATGTGAGAACCTGACCTCCACTTGACGCTGTAGAGATTGCACATGATTGATTATTTCATCCAGAACCAATGCCGTTCCTGATATCTGTACAGACAACCAATTCATGTCATCTATGTTTGACCTACATTAGCTATTTTGAGAATATGAACACCAACCAAATGCACTACAAAATCATATAGAGTGATTATGTGATTCAGGCTTCCGTATCAAACAAAAACAAGGGTTCATTTACGGATCAAGCCTGTATACAAATGCGATGAAACATATTACATGGTAATCGGGCCACAACAGGAGAATACATTTTGGGTCAAAACTTCAACCAGATTATTCTTCCCCCGTATTCAGAAACATCTATAAATAGAAATATTCAAATAGTACTTCAATATCATTGAGAAAATGCATGATAAATTTTCATGCATTGCAGCAAAGCTCACCAATCTCTATTTGTTTGCATCATACTGGTGACAACACAATTTAAAACCAAACCCAAAATTTTAGTTTTGGAAGATACAACAAAAATGGAGCTAAAATGAAAATGCATCTTTGAATCGATTAATGCAGAAAAAAAAGATTATTTTCTAGTTTAAAACCCTAATACCCCTAATACCATCATTTTCTTAGTTGCATTTGTTCATTTAATACCATAAAAAAAAAATAGTTATGTCTGTTCCAAATATATTACATTTTTTTTATCATTGTTATTGTTTTTGTTGCTTACCTTTGTATTTGCCAATATCACATCGAGAGCAATTTACATATAAATATGTAAATATGATTTCAGTAACTGCGTATTGTGAAATATATGATGTTGATATAAACACTTGAGCTTTAATTTTCTATATCAATGCACATGTCGTATATTATAACCGATTCTTGATGAATTAATGTTGAGGTATGTATTTAGTTTATGTTGAGGTCACATATTCATCGTCATTATTATACAAAAAGTGTTTAGGCGACATTAATTTGATTATACAGAAGTCCCAAGCCAGTTGGCTCTGCTAATTGGTAGCTGCACTACAAAAGTATGCATGTTTACTCACCACTCCTGACTATTGAAAGCTTATATAAGCAAATTCAGTTTATTTCACTAATTGTATGTTTGAGTTAATTTGTTTAAAAACATAACTATTAAGTTCCGAAGAAAGCTTTCAAAACAATTTTCTTTTTCATAATTATCGTAAAACTCAGTTTAGTTGCCTTAGTGTGTTGGGACATTCACCACGTGACGGCGAAAAGCACAAGTGGCTTTTTTGTAAGAAGCCACGTGGAATTGAGCCTTCTAGTGGGTACCATCACGTGGTGAAAGCTCCAATATTTTTCTCTTTTTATGCACATCAGCCATCGATCACATTAAAAGGCTGTGCATTAAATTATTGGAAAAAAAATCACGCCTTTTAGTCTTACCTAGTAACAACACGTGTCCCAACTCCAAATTGTCCAGTCAAGCGTGATTTGTAAGAAGGCACAACTTCATGTGGCTTTTAGATGATCACACATGAAATTGTGCCTTAAGAGTTATCGACCTACGCTAGTCTATGAAAATACGAGGATAAAGATACCTCAACATTTTTCTTTCTTGTTTTTTTGGGTCTACCTCAACATCTTTCTCGATCAGCTTAAATAGGAGTACAGTTGAAATGACGAGGCACCTAATTTGCAATTTTTTTTTATGTCAACAAACTTACAAAAAAAAATAAAAATGAAGACCCAAAGACTGCGAGAAGCAAGTGCAAAGAAGGGAATTTCCTTTCATACTTTTTTTAATTATTCGCATCGCTTGGTTTATTTTTATATATATGAAATTTAAAAATTATATACATTAAAATATGGTATTTTAAAAAAATTACAAAAATATAATATTCAAAATCGTTTATGACGGTTTTTAAAAAAAATATAAAAAATTAAATCTCGTCAATAACGATTTTAAAAAAAAAATTATATAGTACAAAGAAACATCACTAACGATTTTCTACTGTGATTTTTTTTTATCAAAATCGTCACTGAATTTTTTAAAAATTTTCATATTTTTGTAATTTTTATAAAACACTAATTTGGTAATTTTTCTTTTTTTTCATATAAAAAAAAGCCGCATTGCGTTAGATATTTTATTATTAATTTTAAAATTAGATTTCAGAAATATTTTATAAATTATTTTCTGAATTTAATTTCTAAAAAAATTAATACAATTGAAAATTTGAATTCCAGAAAAGTATTTATAAATCAATTTTTAAATTAAATTTTTAAAAAATTATTGAACTCTCTTTTGAAATTAAATTTCCGAATAGAAGAAATGAAGTGTTAAAAATTTCTCAAAGAAAAGAGTATTTAGAAGCTGGCATGCACGGGTCAAGTACATCAAGGAATTAGTTATGTCTAAGGCTTGTTATATTCGAATTATCCATCAAGGCATGTTAAACTAAGCTCTATTGGGTGTTGATGGTACAGAATCCCTCATCCTAGAGCTTAGTTTATGAACTTCAAGACTTAAAATATGGGCTAGAGAGCATAAAAGCCCACTTAGAACCCAGTTTATGAGCTTCCAAGATTGAATATGGGCCGAGACGTACAAAAAGTCCTTCCTATTGTTACAAAAAAGACCCCAAAATTAAAAACAAATAAATTTAAAATTATTCTAATTTCCGAAAGTGACCAATTTGTTCACAAGTTTATTATATATTATATTCAATATCAGCGAAAATCTTCACAGTTTAAAATGACTAAACAAACCTTTGGAAAAAGATTTGTAACCAAAAAGAAACCCCCCAAAAAAGCAAAACTAAAGAAGGTGAAATTACAAAAATACCATGTTTGACACTCGTTGCCAGTGGGCAGTGACTTCTCTTGATGTAAAAGCAATCACTTTTTTTTTAAGGTGTTGAAAAGGTGACAATGACAAAAACCGTTATTAAAGTCCGTAACCAAGAGATATAATTGCACTTTTGGGAGACAAATTAGACGGAAAAGGATGGCATAATCCAAAAGAATGAATAAAGCACGATTAATTATTTCCAGTAACCAAGTATTTAAGGTTTTAAGATTAAGACCACAAGAAAGAGAGACCAACCTTGTCGCAGCCTGGGACCAGCTCTTGCAAAAGCTTCATGCGAGCATTGATCTTCTCTCTCCTAGCCTACAGCAGAAACTCAATTAAATATTAGAAAATAAAAAAAAAACATTAAACTTCGATAAACACACTAAAGTGATCGGAATTAAATAAATTAATTAGTGATTAATTAAGCGGTTACCCTTTCTGCCAAGCTATGGCTGTCTGTGGCTTGACCTCGACGAACTCGAACATGGACGTAAGGAAGCTTCTCGCCGTCACCGGAGGACTCATCGGCGACGCTCTTACTCTTCTTCGACGACCCTTTCACCTGAATTCCACCAAAATAATCCATTAGGTCGCGTTTTGTTCATTTGAATTCTACGGAAAACACAGAAACCCTAACTCTCGGATCTGTTGCAATTGGGGAGGAGGATAACGTTATCGTTACCTTCTTCTCTCTCTCTTTTCTCTTCGCGGTCCTCTGATTCTTGTTCTCAACCGCGGGATCCGAAACGCACCCCTGAGTCGAGCAGGGGTTCGAATCAGTCTCTTGCGGCTCGTTCTTCACCTTATCCAAATTCGAACCGGACCCGGCGGGGACCAAGAGCGCCTCCCCCGGCGGCGGAGAGTTATCGCCGGCGAACACGGAGAATTTGGCGGCGCGTTCGATTAAGGCGGCGTTGGAAGGGAAAGTCAAATTGCCACTGAAAGAGTTGAGCAGATAGGGTTTCTGATTCATGCCGACGTGGCAACTAGGCGGTTTCCGAGCGTCGGAATCCGGCGCGTGAAGGAGCTCGACGGCCTGCGTCGGCGGGAGCTCAAGCAGCGCGGTGAATGAGCTGGCGTTTTCCGGCGCCGGCGCCGGCGCCATGATTCCTTGGATTTCTTCGTTGAATTGAATGGACTCGAATGTGATACCGTCGTGAACGGATCCGCGCAATCCTCCCGTAGTTTGCTCCATTGAGCGAAGTAAACACAAAGGAGAAAATCCAATTGAACCGGTTACACCTCCAATTATCTTAATTTGACCAGTGTTGAACCGTGACAGTGTTGAACCGGATCGTTCGGTTCAGGAAAACGGTCGAGATTGGATAATGGGGAATATGTTTGGGGAATTTTCTTGCGAATTAGATATAAGAAGCAGTGCTTCAATGGCGGTCAATCTCTTCTCTCTCTCTCTCTCTCTCTCTCTCTCTATCTATCTCTCTCTCTATTTCTCTCCGGTTCTGTGATTCTGTCTGTGGGATTGCTTCTCAGCCATTTGAAGTACTGCGAAAGCAACGTTGCTACGCTACGGTTACTCTGCTACTGTTGAATTATACGCGTACGGTTACAGCCATACGGTTTCGTTGAGGTGAGGTTAAAAGATTGGGGACCACCACCCTAAGTAAGAGGGCCCCATGAATTTGGAATTTCGGTTTTTTAATTTTCAGAAATATTGGTTTCGATTAAAGAGCCTTCGATCTCCACCGTCGATTCTGTTTGATCTTTTTTTTACGCATTATTTGTGTCCTTTTTACGATTACGGAGATTCCATGGATGACAAATTCAGCTGTTGATGAAAAGAAACCCATTGGAGTGTTCCGTATTCTAATCGATTTGTTGCTTTTCTTCAATTGCCGTTGAGACTCGTAAACTTGTATTCTTTCCCTTTCTTTGTGAGCCTTTTCAAGTTATTTCAGAGACGTGATTGACATTATAAAGCAGTTTTGCTATATTTAGGTCATTGAAAGCGCTTCTAATCCATTCATTATCTCCTTCTCGAACTTCTTCTCATTTTGCCTAATCTCATTCCTTCAATAATTTATTGCTTCCACATTATTGTGCTTCACATGAGCAAAAAGTTCCCGCTAAACTTCCTCTAATCAAAAGTTTAATTTTGTTTTTAATTCAGGGACTCAGTGGTAAAACCCAATTGATTTTAATGTTATGTAAGTACTATAAAGTTTTGCATTATCATATAATGACAATTTAATTTTAATTATATATGATATATTGTTTAATAAGTTTAATATCTTATTTAAGTTTTAAAGTTGTAATACTCGTTACAGGAAATGATAACATATCTTTTGATCACAACAATATTGATATATTAAAAGTAAACTCTACAAATTTTGCTTGATATAATGATGATAATTAGATTTGACCGTATGATCACATGTAGATTATCTAAGTTCATTATTTTTAGTCTAAATTAAGTGGCTTAATTAAACTTTATTTTATACATTATATATTTTATATTTAAACGTATTTGTTTTCGAGAAGTTAATGATGATCAGTTGAGTTGATAGATAACTAGTAACCTTAATTTCTAATATTCGAGTCATATGCTGAGAAAGGCAATATATGTTTCTCAATCATAGGTCCCTAACTAGGCTTCTTATTGAGTAATTAATTCTTCTTACAATTTTGGCTATTCACTTAAAATTAGTAAGTTGAGTAGTAGTCAAGTAAAATAAAATAAACATAGAAAGATGCAATTAATGCAACAATAAAATGTCGAGGCTTAAATATATACATATAAAAAAAAAGGGTTAGTCGGTGTCTTAAGAATATTAATTAAAGAAAAAAATAAAAATATTTTATTAAAAATGTAAAAATTATTTATTTTCATAATTTTAATATATTTTAACATAAGTTATAATAAAGTAATTTTTTCATGTCTCGAAGGATATATGTTAAAAAGTTTAAAAAATTATGAAAGATAAAATATTTATTATTCTATTATCAAATACGTGAATTAATTATTAAAAAATTGTTCAAACTTAACATTTTAAGTTCGAGTATATATATTTTATCTTTCTTAATCTATGTTTTTAGATATGTATTAAAACATTATTAATAAAAAGTTATTGTGTAGTGGTTTATTAAAATCAAAACATATATTATATCTTTTTAAAATATTTTTAACATTATTTGTCAATTAAAATTAATTTTTAATAAAAAAATTATATTTAATATGATCATATACACTAGACTAAAACTCTAATTTTGATTAATAAAAATACTAATAACACCAGAAGAATTAAACCTAAATTTTATCTATTCATGAATCAACATATTCTAAAGAAATTCATTGGCAAAACCTTAAAAATAAACAGACGAGTGCTAAATATAATTTGAAAGTAAATATCGAAATAAAATCGTGAAATATGGAAAGAAATCGAAAAGTAACAAGGAGACGAAAACAATGATGAACTAAATTGTGTCCGTAAATTTTTTATAACTTATACATTAGTGATATAACATAAAGTTTATATACTTTTAAACAAACCAAATTAAGGCTGGATTGGTAGGCCGCTCCTAAATATATAAGTTAAGCATGAGCCCAAATTCTGTTTTCAAATTTTTAATTGACAATTTAGATTAATCTCTTTTAAAATATAGAAATTACTTAATGTAAATTTAATAAAAATATTAAATATGTTTAAGAGATTCAATTATCCCTAATTATATCAGGTTTTGTTGGTGATGTTTAAACTAATGCTAAACATAAGATTATCTCACAAAATCCTTTTGTATTAATTTATATTCTAGTGATTCTCTCTCTCTCTCTCTCTCTCTCTCTCAGTCAATTCCTCCATTGAGTTTAAAAAAAGTTCTAAAAGAAAATTACTCCCAAACGCTCTCTTAGTCTTGTTATTAATACTAAGTCCTTGCTTGAGTTAGCCAAGAACTCTGCCAAAGATGAAGCAAAGGACTTTACGAAGAAGGAACAAAAATGCAGCAACTTGTGAGCTCCCGCGAAGTCTTAGGAATTGTTTTAAAACGAAGCTTTGGAGAAAAGAAAATGAGAATAAAATTTTTATTTTAAATGAACATATTTTTAGTTTAATATTTTTAAAAAATAAAAGATATAAATAATAAATTAATATCTTATTATTGCTAACTTAAAAAAAAAATAAAATCTTTCTCTCCTTTTACTTTAAATTTTCACTTTCAAATTGAAGATGAAGAAAACGGAGGTTTAATATTTTATTTTTTAAATAAATAGAATTATATAATGCTTTATAAAATTAGATAAAATTAAACCCATTAAATTTATACTAATCTATTATTATATTTAATTATTTTAGGTATAAAATCAAAAAGTAAATAATATTAGAAATGACTCCCTTTCCTTCCAAAATCAAACTTTAATACATAGCCTTTTTCTTTGAGTATAATGATTCAACAAAAAATACGATAAATTTTAAGGTATTCTAAAAAATGAACAAGTATTTCTATGCTCTTATATACATGAAATAATTATAACTATTAATTTTAGTGATATAATTAGTAATATATTTAAAAAAGATATAAATATCTTAATATAATCTAAAAAAGTATTCAATACACTATTAAGAGCACGAATAAGTATTCAAAAATGCATGCACAGTAATTTTAAGGATGTTGAAGTATATATGAAGTTAAAATCATGTGTAGCTTTGAGCCAAAATTCAAAGAAGAAGATCACCGATGTAAGTATCAAATCTCGTTAACTTGGAGCAACTGTGCAGGATTGTTTGGTGGAAAGCTCATAGTCAGACCCTTGGTCTAGGATTCAGTTAATTAGTTTAAGCAGGGGAAAACAAGATTCTTCAAAGAAGACTCAAACCAAATTACTCATAATTCAAATTGTTTCAAGACATCGTACAAATCTTTACAACCACTGGTGATATAAAGAAACCACAACATTGCCCTAGTATTGTTTTCTGTGGTATTGGGAGATATTTGTTGGAAAAGTCCTTTGACTGAGACTGGTTCCTAAGATCATTGAAGACTTTTGACTTGCATTTTCAAAGCCACGTTTGTGTAGCATTGGAAGGAGTCACCATAGATGGGTATCTAACTAAAGCTGACACGTCCCTAAAATCTACTAAAACATGCATGCACCAAGAAGTGAGAAAGTAGCACATTCTTTGTGGTTTAACACTTATTCAACAAATACAATTGCACTCGGCTATAAGGGTGACGAGAAGAAGTTTGATAAAAAAGAAATTTCCTTTGTAATTCTTGTGAAATTAAAATATATGGTATATTCAAGGCCTTTCTTGTGAGGAAATAGAGCTTGCAACATACGCTACACTAGCACATATTGCTACCAGTGATGTTTATTAGTTGTAAAATTAGCATAGTTCCATTCACTTAATTAGAAGAGAGAGAAAGAGAGTTATCACAACTAGTGATGTAACAATGGTTATTTATAAATACTTGTTGTAATCATATGTATCACTCAATAATGAAATAGGAAAAATGTTGAAATCCAAAATGGGTGTGAAATGAGCAAGAGAAAGAAAATAATAAAAAGAAAAAAGAAAAGAAAAAGAGATGTTAACGATGATGTGATAAAAAATAGTGAATAAAAATAAATGTAAATTAAAAATAAGAAAGAATGAAAATATAGAAGTTATAATAAAATTATATTTCTTTTCTCTGAAAAGGGGTATTCTCGCTGATTTTGTTTTCATCTATGTTGAGACTGGTTTTTAAGACATGGATAGCGAGAGTCGAATGTGAAGAGAAGGGTTGGGTGGTAAATTATTGTTTGGGTCCCATAACCGATATGGTGGGGACCTGATTCAAGCCAATGCTTGACACAATTTTAAATCGTAGAAGATGACCCATCATTGTCTTGTATTAATATCATTCCCATGACGCATTACCCTCCCCTTATACAATCCATTGAAAATAAAATTCTTTTACATTCATTATTAAATTTTAAATAATTAAAATAATGATTCACTTTCAAGTAAACTAAGGATATAAATAATCTGATTCGCTTAGTTTATCAACAAATTTTTTAATAAAAGTTCTATATTATTATTGCAGGCTATTGTTGTTGTTTCATGATTTTAAATTAATCTTTTTCTATCTTTTGATTAATAAAATTATATGTAAAGAAGCCTCACCAAGATTGAAAGTGTGATTGGTGAAAAGGTAATATTATTTCAATGATATTTTTATAACATTATTTATTCTCTTCTTTTTTATCTCACTCCTTGGCATAGAAATTATCGTGAAAAAATGATGTTAAAATAGCATTACCATTTTATGGAATAAGAGGTACGTCTCGTGCAGTACAGTTTGAGCATCTCATGCAGCACAGTGGAGCAGCATCGGCAAGGAAAAGTCATGACTCAAACGAAATGAGTTTCACTAAAATTTCTCTTTGCCCAAATAGGCACTTTCAACTTTTGCCTCAATAAGGTATATTTCATTGACCTTACACCATGTCACCATCGGTGATTCACCATGATTTCTTAGTT